GGAGGGAGAGAGAGAGAGAGAGAGAGAGAGAGAGAAAGAGACATCAATGTGAGAGAGACACATTGATTGGTTGCCTCCCGCACATACCCCGACCAGCAGGGATGAACCTGCAACTGAGGTACAATGCCTTGACCAGGAATTGAACCTGGTCAGTCCATGGGCTGATGCTCTAACCATGGAGCAAAACAAGCCAGGGCTGTATTCAAACATTTTTTTAAATGAAGACTGCTTGAACCAAGAATGCAGAATACCAGGGATTGTCTGTTAAACTTTTAAACTCTCCACACTCTGGTTGTGTTACACTACTTCAGTTTTTGCCTACTCTTTAAAGTCTTTCAGTATGAACATGTCTATTAATCTGTCAGAGTATTTATACTCATGTTGCTATATAAGAACTTACATTCTTTGACTGTGAGGTGTCTCCCATGGTGTGCATTCATAACCCGAAGAAGCACAATATATATAACAATTCTTCTGTGTTTATTAATAAAATCCCTGTCTTTAAAAATATTTTCCTAATTATAAAATTGATATATACATATTATAAAAATTTAAATGCTGTAGAAAAATATAAGTAGAACATAAAAGTTCTCTATAATTCCATCTCAGTATACGCAGTGTTAGCTATTTGATCTTCAGTCTCATGAATCATTTTTAAAATACGTACATTTGCTAAAATCTTTTCTCTTGGTCTAATTTACTTAAGGTGCTGAGTCTTTATATTCATGCTCCTGTATATGACTTTGATAGAGTGTCTCCTTATCCCCCAATCCAGAGTGTATATGAAAGAAAAGTTTTATGTTATATTTGAACGATTCATGAAATTACTTGGAAACATTTTACTGAAATCGCTAATACCCAGAAAAAGAACTAGGTGACTTATTGAAAAAACATTTGCACTTTAATAACATTTCTTGCTTCAGGTTAGAGGGTGAAAAAATGGTTAGCATTCTAATCATATTTAGTTTAAAAACATAATTTTTTGTGGGACCCAGATTTACAGTAATTGTTTTATTCCCGGGAATCATTTAAAATGTATGTTTTTTGTTTAGAATTATTTCATTCTTTTGGACATCAATCTAATTTTAAACATTATTTTCAGACCATTAAAAATTTCAACTGAAGACTTCGGCAAACTCTGGTTATCCTTTGCAAATGATGTGAAGCAAAATGTAAAAATGTCAGAGTCTCAAGCTGCTCTGCCTTCTGCCCTGAAGACACTGCAACAGAAACTGAGACTTCATGTTGTTGACATTATAGGTTCGTAGAGTTACGAAAAGGCAATCCCGTGTTTATGAGGGCTTTCTCACAACCAGAATACAGATCAGCTCTCACAAAGTGTCAGATTTCTTAGAGCCATGTTTCCTGTTATTGGTATCTTTTAGAGGAGTGTGTTCTTCAGATTTTATTAAAGATTTTTTGTGGTGAAATATACATAACAAAATTTGCTACTTTAACTGTTCTTAAGTGTACAGTTTAGTGGCTTTAAGTATATTCGTGTTGTTGTGTAACTATTGCCACCATCATCTCCTGAGCTTTTCCTTCTCCCCTAACTAAAACTGTACCCATTAAACAATAGCTCTCATCATCTCCCTCTCCAGTCCCTGACACCTACCATCCTATTTTCTGTCTCTATGAATTTGACGTTAGGTACCTCATAGAAGTGGAATCATACAATATTTGCCCTTTTGTGATTGGCTTATTTCACATAACATAATATATTCAAGGTTCATCCTTATTGTGGCATGTGTCAGACTTTCCTAATGAATACTATTCCATTGTATGAATATACCACATTTTGTTTATCCATTCATCTGTCGATGAACACTTGAGTTGCTTCCACTTTTGGCTACTGTGAATAATGCTGCTCTGAATAGAGGTGTACAGATATCAGAGTTCAAGTCCCAGAAGTAGAATTGCTGGATCATATGGTAATTCTATATGTAATTTTTGGAAAAGTAATATCATTTTTTTAAATGTTTTTTATTGATTTTTGAGAGAGAGGAAGGGAGAGGGATAGAGAGATAGAAACATCGATGAGAGAGAAATATCGATCGGCTGCTTCCTGCACACCCCTTATTGGGGATTGCGCCTGCAACCGGGCATGTGCCTTGACTGGGAATTGAACCAGTAACCTCCTGGTTCATGGGTCAGTGCTCAATCACTGAACCACACCAGGCTATCATATCATTTTTCACAGCAACGGCACCATTTACATTCCCATCAGCGATGTACAAGGGTTCAAAGTTCTCCATGTCCTCACTAACCCTTGTATTTATTTATTGTGATAATTGCCATCCTCATGGGTGTGAAGTGATAAGTGGTATTTCATTATGGGGTTGATTAGCATTTCCTTAATGAGCAGTGATGTTGAATATCTTTTCATGTGCTTATTGGCCATTGTGTATCTTCTTTGTAGAACTGTGTACTGAAGTTCCTTTGTATTAAAGAATTTTTAATTTTTGTTGTTTGTAGGCAGTGAAGGGCTGTTGGCCTGTCAGCTGCTCCCATCCATCCCCTGTTTGCTGCATTTCCGAGTTCATGGTGACGTATTAGCCCTATGGTTTAGATCCTCCTGCTCTACTCTTCCTGACTATTTATTGTATCAGTGTCAAAAGGTGATGGAGGGATCCTAGCAGAAGCTCTTATATTTTACTCCATCAAAACAAATGGTTTACATACATAAACTTATTTACCAAAGTAAATAATTCATGGTACTTCTAATGAAAATGGGGATAATTGCAAATTGTGGTATTATGTGTTTCCTTTATGATTCCTGATCAAGAAAGATCCCCAAGAAACTGTATCCTTAATCTTTTACTCAGGATTGTACAGTATGTTTGGGTCCTAAAGAGTGACCTGAGCTAATGTTATAAACTGCTAATGCTTTATATATCACTTAGTGTAGAGGGACTGAAAATATTTATTTTGTTATAAGTAATTTTATAGCAAATTTACTCTAGTGCTAGCCGATTTGTAGTAAAGTCAAGTTTGAGTTCTGCATTAATGTGGGGGAGACATGGAATTGAAAACCCCAGACCTAATTCACATTTGGCTTTGGAATGCAGTGTGTGCTTTTTGGTAGGCACGTCATTACTTTCAATTATGTTTTGCTTAGTTCAGTGTTGAACTAAGTTGGCACAGCACACACTTAGTTCAAAAGATCCATGAGCATGCTGGGTATTGGGGATCCAATCTGTGATACAGTTATTATAGATAACTTGCTATACATAATTGCAGATAATTTGGCTAGAAAGTTTGTTTTCCATTTGTGTTTATTTTTAATATTAAAAATGAATCACTGTATTTCTATGTTAAATACTCAGAGCCATTTGCAAAATATTATCATAGAGAAACAAAACCCACAAGAGCACACATATAAAAGGACTAAAGCAAACATATAAAAGGACTTCTTAGTTATGGCAAATCTCATAGTTAGTTACCACTTTGGTTCTTTTAGCAGGTTGAAATTTGTGATTAGAGTATAAATGGTAAAACCATTTTCCTGGCCTTTAAATCCACTGGTATGCAGTGGATGCCACCGCAACAGTGACTAAGTATACCATACAGGTCTTCAGTAAAAGACATCATTTTCATGTTATAGTTGTACCTTTGTGGCCTCTGTCAGAACTATTATCAGTCTAATATGGACCAGAATCTTGAGATTGTACATTAAGGTTAAAAACGGAAATTATATTTTATAAAACCTTATGGTGCTGTGGAGATATTTATTATTTCTCTTTTTCTGACACTTCACCATGGAGACTATTCAGGTAATATAGTTTTAAGTTATTGAAGCTAATGCTCTGGTTATTTGGTACTGTGTGTCGCCTAGGTGTGGAATTCTGGTTTTAGGTTATCTCACTAATCATAGCTGATCTGAAAGACGCTAAGGGGATTCCCCAGAGCCGATAGATTTCATTAGTTATTTGTGTCTAGCATATTCCTTCCTAAAAACAAAACAGTATTTTTTAAAATTAAGGTTTAAGTTATTCATTTAAAAAATATGTCATACCTTGTTACGTTCATGCTTTTAAAGACAGCAAAATCTTGCTATAAGAGCAATGAAAAGTGACTGGAGTTTCCTGTGTAGGTTTCTCCTTTTAAATAGAAGGTGAGATTCATCCTCAAGCTCCTAGCAGTGTCACGGTGAAGGGGACATGCTGTCTGTGGAGGTGTGGTGGGCGCTGGTGGCTGCATCATCAGCTTCCTCTTTATTCCTGCCTCTGTCAGCAGCACCCCCACCTGATTGTGCTGTTACTCTGACAAAGAGATAGGAAGTGCCCTCTCACTTTGCAGAGGGATGCAGTTTGTGGCACAGGAGATGCCCCGATTTTTGTGCCCTTACTTCCATGTGTTTGCATGGTCACTCAGGCTGGGTTGAGTGTAGAGCAGTGGATGTAAGGTGCCCAGCAAACCCGAGGACAGCTGATCTGGGAGAGATTACAATGAGCTGCTGCGTTGTTACAAGGGTGCAGCAGCAGTTGTCATGAGAGACATGCTTGGCCTATAGATTGTCCAGTGGTGAGAGACGTGCAGTGGTAGGTGAGGGCTGGGAACATGATTTTGGGTCTTCCAAAGGGAGCGTGGTGTTATTTTGTTCTTTCTGAACCCACTAAATAAAAAGTAGGGTTAAAGGATTTCTACTGAAATGTTTAGTAGAATGTTTACAATTTTTATATTTTTATGGTTTTAAAAACAGTAGGAAAGAGTAGATTTTAAAGAACTTCAGAGCACTATATTTTCTGTCTAAACTAATTCAGTGTTTTAAGTTCTAAATCAGACATCACTAACTTTTTTTGTATTATAGATGTGACTACAAAGTAGGGAGAATGATTGCTGTTGGTAGATCATCTCCTCACCTTATAGTCATCATTTAGTCAAGTGAAGTGAAGCTAGGGGGTGGGGTTACTCACCTGTGTGAATTTTGTGCCAGGCATCTTTGCTGAGAATGCAGGTGGCAGCAAGTGTGAATCTGGAGGGAATGAAGGGAAGGCAGCAAAGTCTTAAGAGCAGGTAGAAGGATCAAGCTCCCAGCAGAATAGTCCCTGTGGAGGCAGGCAGAGCAGGCTCAGGGAACGTGGGTCTGAGTAAGGATCCTTCTAAAAAACTGCAGATGGGAGCTGAGCAGGTACCAAGTGCTTAAGTGCCAAGCATGCCAACCACAGCCTGTGCTCTGCAGAGGAGCATTGTTTTAAACAATATTCTATCATCTACCAAATAGTTGTGGTAAAAATGCAGTATTTTATTTTTTTCCTTTATTTTATTTCATGTTAATAATATTTTAAAATATCGAGCTATTTGTCTTAATTTTTATGGATAAATGTGGTCTTTGTCTCATGATTGTGAGCCACTAAAGTGCACTGAACCTATTCATATGTCTTTAAGGTGTTTTGCTGTGTTAAAATTTTAGGAGGGAAAAATGCAACAGAATAACAACTTAGTAACCATTGATTACCTTGTTTTGGAGTTGAATTCTGTAATTTGAAATAATTCAGTGAAACATCTAATAAATACAAAGTGATCTATACGGTTCTTTGGTCTGTGTATTTTTTTTATCTAAATAGCTGAGTAATAGTACTATTCAATAATTTGATAAGCATTAGCTAAAAAGAGTAGAAACAATTGGAATGGGATGAAAAGAGTAAGTTACTCATTAAGGCCCATAAGAATCTGGTCTAATAGGTTATTAAAAATAAAGATATTGCTGTTTTTATGTTATGTTCCGAGAGAACTTTGTGGGCTTCCGACAGAGTGTGGATGATCCTCAGGTGCCTGTCCAGACTCCCAGCTTTCAGTCTAGCCTGGCCAGAGATCCCAGAGTTCTCTTTCTTTAATGCCCACTCCTTACAGCTGCCTCCAGATGGATGAACCACAGTAAGTCAGATAAGACTCTGGATCTTTTGGCCATCTTGTTGTATGCATATTGTAAAACACAAAGCTAGATCAGAAGTGGCTTTTAAATCTCACTGATTTATGCCTCCTATTGGCTAAAATGTAGGGCAGGAAAACATAAGATTTGAAGCTTCATCTTTGGGGCACTGAGGAGTTTAAATGCCCACAGTAGTAATTGAAAGGAAAAGGGCTCTTGAAGGCCAGAGTGGCTTGCAGCCAAATGGACCAGGGTTAATGATTGAATGAAAGTTATTTGTTTGTGTGCATAATGAGAGACTGAGCTTTTTATGGTGGAACCATCTGTATATTTTTATGTCCCTTTTGTCTGGTACATAATAGGCACTCAGTAATAGGCAATTGGTTTATTGAATGAATGACCTACCCCCTCAAAATAAGTAATCTGAAACCAAATAATGTCCAGGGATTGATTTTAGTAATACTGTGGCTCTCTCAGAAATCAAGTGATCTGATGTGGTTTACAGATACAAATCAGTGAAAAAGGTTCCAGTGAAAATACCTTGTGCCAGTTTGGAGAGAAGAAACATAACTGCTTGATGAGATTCTTGCCAGCCTGAAGGCTAAGTCCTGTGAAAACTTCCATGGCATTTAAGAGATCTCTTAGAAATTATGACTTGGGCCTGGCCGGCATGGCTCAGTGATTGAACATTGACCTATGAACCAGTAGGTCACAGTTCCATTCCAGGTCGGGGCACATGCCAGGGTTGTAAGCTCAATCCCCATTGTGGGGTGTGCGGGAGGCAGCCGATTGATGATTCTCTCTCATCATTGATGTTTCTATCTCTCTCTCCCTCTTCTCTGAAATCAATAAAAATATTAAAAAGAAAGAAAAAAACAGAAATTATGATTTGGAGGAGGGGGACCTGTCTGAGTTATGGCAGATGTCCGTAAAGTTTTACTGGTCTAAAAGAACTAGTGCTAGGACAGAAAGCAGCAGATATTTGGTCAGTGAAGTTAAAGTTAAATACTGGGAGCTAGTGACTATGACAAGGCAGATTTACCAGCTAAATTAGCATCGCCTGTTTAGAAAAGCACACTGATAACGGAAGAGACAACTATATTGACATTAATAGGGTCAGTAGCATCAGAAAAGTAGGGGAGGAGCAGGCCCTCGGGGATAAAGCATCAGGAAAAGGAGATACTTAAAAGGAAATGTGTTTCATTTGTGTCACATGGGAAGATGTATGCTAGGTGCATGAATCCAAGATAGGAGGGTACCCAGAAAATGAGCCCCAGAGAACCCTGAGCACTTGAAGATGGGCCTGGATGTGAGGTAAGTACAGATGATGTCGAACTCAGGAGTTGCTTGAAGCAGCTGTAACACTGAAAAAGCAGTGGGTTGCAGCTTGTTTGTGGGCTTTGTTCCAAGGGAAGGAATCAATTTCCTTTAGTTATTTTAAACTATTTTCCTAAGTGGATGAGTACTTTTACTTCCCTAAAACATTAAATTGCCAATGTGACTAAATGGCTGACCTCAGGAAGTTTTTCCCTAATGGGGTCTGGCAGGACATGTGCCAAATGGTTAGAGGCTGGAGCCAAGAGATTATTTATATTTCGGTGAGAGAAAAGTAATTAGAAAGCTATTTAATTGTACATTTCTCTATCCCTTATGAGACAAGTAAGAACAGAGGCAAGGCATGGGTGTTCTTAGGGAGAGGCATTTGGTCTGAATTGTTACCACGTAATTGAATGAAGGTAAGGGCAAAACCAGTGATTAGAACGAGCTGGTCCCTTGATGATAGATTATCACGGTATAAGAATTTATTTTTTCGCCCTAACCGGTTTGGCTCAGTGGATAGAGCATCAGCCTGCGGACTGAAGGTCCCAGGTTCGATTCCCGTCAAGGGCATGTACCTTGGTTGCAGGCACCTCCCCAGTAGGGAGTGTGCAGGAGGCAGCTGAATGATGTTTCTCTCTCATGGGTGTTTCTAACTCTCTATCTCTCTCCCTTCCTCTCTGTAAAAAACCAATAAAATATATTTAAACAACAACAACAACATGATTTAAAAAAAAGAATTTATTTTTTCATCTAGTTGACTGACTAATGGTTGATGGGGTCAAATAGAAGAGTTATTGTGAGCTATGGGAAAAATGAAATGATTTGAACACAAACATTGGACCAGTCTTCACCTACAGAAGTGATGAGTATCTTTTGTTACTCCTAAGGAGCCTTTTTGAGCACACCTGGGTTTATGCTAATGAGCTGACAGAGTGGGGCCTGTATTTAGCCTCAGAATGAGGTTGGTCACCAGAAAGACCAAATGATTAGAGTTGGAACTTTCAGCCCCATCCACTGACCTCAGGGGAGGGGAGGTTTGGAGCTGGAGGTTAAGCTCTATAAAAACAATGGGATTTGATGAGTTTCCATGTTAGTGAAAGTATCCACATCCTGGGAGGGTGATGCACCCCAGCTCCATGGGGACAGAAGTTCCTGCACTCAGGACCCTTCTGTTTCTCACCGTATGTACCTCTTCATCTGACTGTTCATCTGTAACCTTTATAATATCCTTTGTAATAAACTGGTAAACAGAAGTACCTGGTAAATATTTCTCTGAATTATCTGGGCCACTCTAGCAAATTAATTGAGAAGGGGGTTGTGGGAGCCTCCAATTTATAGCCAGTTGGTCAGAAGCACAGGTGACAACCTGAGCTTGCGATTGGCATCTGAAGTGGGGGCAGTCTTGTGGGACTGAGCCTTTAACTTGTGATGCTGTCTCCAAGTAGATAGTGTCAGAATTGAGTGTATTTGTAGGACACCTAGTGTATGTCTGCTAAGAACTAGAGAATTGCTTCATGGTGTGGGAAAAAAAGCATCATTTAACAAAAATGATTTATATTTAGGTTGTACAATGTGGTTTTTTAAAGGTGTATAACATGATGGTTTAATTAATGTACATACATTGTGAAATTATTACCACAATCAAGTTAATTAACACATCCATCACCTCATAGTTACTTGTTGTGTGTGTGGGAAAAACACAAGATCTTAGAAAATTAAGTATATAATACAGTATTATTAACTATAATCACCATGCTGTCCATTAGACTGGGGACCTTTTACAAATTCCATACCCTAAGCCATTAAATCAGAGTCTCTGAGGTGTGGGGCTCAGGCTTCAGTAATTTTTAAACTCCACAGGTAAGTACAATTCACAGCCACTACTACTGTTTTAGATGCAGTCTCACCCTCCTCTTCCTCAATGGGATTGTTTGTGATTGTGTTTTCCCCATACCCACTCCTGCAATTGAGATCGATTACAAGTAATTCACTATTGAGTGTTTGGGAGGTAAGTAAGGGAATTATTTGGAAAGATTGGGCAGGTGTGGGGGAGGAATCTTATGTGAGTATATAAAATGTTGTAGGTCCTGTGGAGATGGTGGCAGTAGCAGTTAGGGTTTGAATTTCCCTGAATCTCCACACAAAAATGGTCAGAGAACTACATAGCAAAACCAAAAACCCACATACAATTTTTCAACAAAACTAAGTGACAGGGTCTCAAAATGCAAGAAGGTGGTAACAAGTCATCAAAGCCAAAATATGTGCATCTTATTTGCATCTTTGCAGGAGGAAGCAAAGGGAAGCAATGGTTATCTAATAGACCCGAGAACAGGACAACTCAATAGCCAACAGGTCTCTGGAAGGCACAGTGAGTCAAATTGAGGTTAGCATCTGAAACGGGACAGGGTGTTGCACAATTCACAGGGAATGAGTGCAAGTCACAGTAAGGTCTGAAGCATTCTAGACTGTATGAACCCTTGAAACTGACTAGTTATGGTTCTCTTCCAGAAAAGGACAACATACTGAGTAAAAACTGCTTGGAGAGGTATCAAAATTGAGCAAGATACATAGGTGCTGGTATCATATTGTCAAATTTAATTCCTGGCTCCACTTATTACTAATTTGTACCTTTGTGGAAATTACTTAAATACTCTGTGCTCCAGTTTCCCATCTGTATAATGGGGATAATAATACCTACCTTATAGGACTGTGAAATGAGTTAATGCACATGGTGGTTCATGTGATCATGATCTGTCAGTTTCTATATCAGTTTCTTAGCATCATTATGAGAAAAGAAACAAAGAGAAGGCAATAAATATACAGGAAAAAGAAGGTCCAGATAAAAGTGGGAAAAGTTAACAGAGTCAGAAAACATCAGAAAGCAAGTTGCTATTTTATTAGTATTTTAACATTATAAAAAACACACAAGAAAAGCTTTGTAAAGTCAGAAAAGTTACTCTGAAACATGCCTCCTAAATATTTAGGAAAATAATTTTATAGAGATATAAACAACAGAAAAAGATACTATGGTCAAATCCCATATAAACTCTGTAGGGGTGGGAGTGGGAGGGGGAGAGAGAGAGAGAAAGAGGAAGAACATAAATTAGAGCTATATAAACTCAAATGAAGTGAAATGGTGGTAAATATTCAAAGAAAGTGTTAAATATTGAAGCTAGGCAAAGAAGGTCCAACATATGGATTGTAAGAGCTCCTATAGAAGACGTTCAAAGCACAGAACCAAAACTAATATGAAGCAATAATTTCAGGAAACATTCCTGAGAGTGCAATTAAAAAAAAATGATTTGAAACTAAAAAGACAGTGCATACCCAAGGATCTC